TTCATTGAACCACAATACTGATAAGTGATTAATAAAAGTCAAAAGACCAAAGAGGTCATCTTAATACCAAAAAAAAATATGTATTTTTCATATGTATACTTAAGAATTAAACCATTTATCACTTTACTAACCTACTTACTATCATCAAATGCTTAATTCTTTGATTTTTACATTTATGTTTAATCACAAATCACTGTACAGCATAGACCAAAAAGCCTCTTTTATAATACTCTTCATGATTTTCAGAAGCCTAGAATATAAAGTGCCTCAGATACTAAAGACAGATTAATTGCATTTGTGAATATAAAATATTTGGATACTTAACAAATCAATTATAAAATTTGTCAACTAAAATATGATGGGATTAATATAATATAAATAATTTATTTTAAATATATCTATTAGCAAATATTTATTATATTTATCAATTATATAAAATAAAATAATAACAAGTAAATAATTAATTATATTAAAAATATTAGTGTTCCATGATGGTAATGTTTAGATTACCTATATATATAAAATAATAAGTCAATCCTTTTTAATAGTGTTTACGTACTATTGCTGCTTATGCATTATAGACATATTAATATGATGTGTGTGTTATACTAATTTTCATAATTCATACTATATCACATGCATTTTCTATACATTAAATAGTTATGCAACATCATCTCTGTAATTCATACTATATTACATGCATTTTTTACATATTAGATAATTATGCAACATTACTTTTAATACATTTTGTGCATCTTTCTATACTTCTGATTTTATTTCCTATTATGCCAATACATAAGTAGACTAATCAATTACTTTCTGATATGTTCTTACTTTTCTTTGCATGTATTTATATATAAGTGGCATATAATAATTTTGTTACATAATAATAACAGCATGTTATCAAATATATATCAGATATATATATATGATTTTTTATACTAATAAATATCTAAACTATGAAAGAAAGCATTAAAGACTGCAAAAAAAGGCTTTATCATAAACAGCAACAATACTACAGAAATAAAAAAAAAAACTTATCTCTGGCAACAAAAAAGAACTTATAACCAATTATTAACTTGAAGAAACAAACTATGCAGCTACTCTACAAGTTGAACTAAGCCAAGAACTTGAAGCTAACACAAGCAGTATATAGACAGAAGAGAGGCTAAGTAATACTAATGAAGATAATAGTAATATTTTAATTTCTTCAGCTTTGAATCTTAATTTTAGGCCTACTCAAAATAATTCAACTATTGCTTCTACTGCCTCAGTTGCTAACATTCCTAGTTACAGCTTAACTACAACAATTAAAAGCATGTATTCATTCATAGTCTTCAGTTGGTTTGAGTCATCACACTCTAGGAAATATGGAGCATAAATGTTATTATTGTAGAGCTTTTATGTGAATAGATGAATAAAAGGCTGAGACATCTATACATTCTTCAACTTTTACAACTTGCTGTGCAGAAGGGAAAATTCAACTTCCTCCTTTTCTTAATCTACCTTCATCTTTAAATATGCTTCTTACTAGAATGGATTCTGAAGCATGTTTATTTAGACAGAAAATTAGAATGTATAATTCTGCATTAGCTTTTACATCTATGAGTGTGACAATTGATTATAGCATAATAGGAACAAGTGGTGTTTATAGCTTCTGCATTTATAGTAAAATGTATTATAGCATAGGTTCTTTATTTCCTGAAGAAAATAATAGCAACAATTAACCTAAATTTGCTTAAATCTATATATATAATACTGAGCATAAACTGCAAAATAAGATGAGTGTAATGTCTAAACTTGATCCTCAAATTCTTGCTACCCTTCAGCAAATGCTACATGATATTAATCCCTATTGCAGAATATTTAACCAAGCTACTAATATATTAAATTTGAATTCAATATTTAACTTTAAGATGGTAATTACTAACAGTAGATCCAAAGACTCTAGGCATTACAATATTCTAACTGCTTCAGAAGTTGCAGTAATTATAGTTGGTGATAGCAATGAACCTGAACTCCAAAAACATGATATTGTTTTGCATTTATGTGATAGAGGAATTAAAAGGATATCTGAGCTTCATCATGCTTATGAATTATTGCACAATGTCCTTATGTTTCTAAGAGGTGAAGATGGATGGCATCCATATATACCTACTACCAATATTCCTTTTTCTACATCACTACCTAGCAATTCTAAATCTGAACTCCTGATAATAGATAAAAAGAAAGGAATATATACAATAAAATATATTACTACCATGAAATATTATGCATATCATCTTCACCTTGGCTATTCAAATGAATCAGTAGTTATACATTTTTTGGTTAACTATTTCAACAATGGGTTGTTAATATGTATGCTATTATAGAACAAATGCATCTTAATTACCTGTGATTTAATCAACTACAAATATGCTCAGAATTATATAGTGGCTTACAAGATGCAATGCAGGCAAGAGACAGTATAACTATCATAGCAAATATAGGCCAATGTGTTATTTTACCTTCAAGTTTTACTGGAGGGCCCCATCAAATGCATTAACTTTATCAGAATGCAATGGCTATTGTGTGAGTACTTGAAAAACCTGATCTTTTTATCACAATAACTTGCAATCTGCAATGGCCAGAAATTACTAACACTCTTCTTTAAGGTCAAACTTCACAAGACAGATCTAATTTAATAGTCTGTGTTTTTAACTTAAAATTAAAGATCTTACTCAAAGAAATTTTAAAAGAAGAAATTTTAGAAAAAATTATTACTTATATTTATACTATAGAATTTCAGAAACATGGATTATCTCATGCATACTATCTTTTTATTCTTGATCTTGCTTATAAGCCCAACTCAATTGTTAATTATAATCCCATTGTATCAGCTAAGATTTCAGATGCAAATACTGATCTTTGTACCTTCAAAACTATAAAATGTTCTATGATGCATGGTCCATGTAGTGCTTTAATGCCTAATGCTTCTTGTATGAAAAATAAACATTGCTCAAAAGGATATCCTAAACTCTTTCAAGAAAAAACTGCTATTAATAATGATGGTTATCTTGTCTATATGTAAAGAGACAATGGTAGAACTGTAGAAGTTCATGAAGCATTGTTAGATAACTGTTGGGTAGTTCCATATAACCCTTACCTTTTAGCTAAGTACAATTGTTATATAAATGTTGAAATTTGTTTATCAATTACCGCAGTAAAGTATCTCTTTAAATACATTTATAAAGAACATAATTATGCTACTATAGAACTTAGAAGACCAGCCAATGAGCATAAACAACATGTGAATACTGATGAAATAAATCTCTATCTTGATGCTTGATACATTTCTGCATTAGAAGCTTCTTGAAGATTATTTCATTACAAATTGCATAATAAAAATCCAGCTATTATGCAACTTTAAATTCACTTTTTTGAGCAACAAAAAGTTACTTTTGATGCTAATGAAGGCATAGAAACTGTACTACAATGAGCTAAAACTGAAAAATCAACACTCACAGCATGGTTTTAAGCTAATTTGAGATATTCTAAAGCCAGAAATTTTATCTATGCTAATTTTCTAAGAAACTGGGTTTACAAAAAACAAACCAGTAGTTGAAAACCAAGACAATATAGAAATGTTATAGGGCACATATATTTTGTTCACCTTACAGCTGATGAATAATACTATTTAAGTCTTTTACTTAACATCATCTGTAATGCAACTTCTTTCTCAAACCTATGTACAGTAAATAATATACTATATTCTACTTTCAGAGAAGCCTGTGATACTTTAGATTTATTACAAAATAATGATAAATGGAATTAATGCTTAAGTGAATCTGCACTTATACAATCTGGGTCTCAACTATGTTATTTGTTCACTACTCTTCTCTTATTTTGTAACCTTATTCATTCTAAGGCTTTATAGGAAAAATATTTTACTTTACTTAGTAATAACATTAGATTACAATTTCCTGATATTAGTAACTCTAATACTAATCTGCAAAATTAAGCTTTATTCTATTTACAGTCTATTTTAAATAAGCATAGCAGATCTCTTCAAGAGTTTTCAAACATGTCTATACCACATATTATATCTGATTCTGACCAAAATACATAGCTATTTGCTAAAAAAAAAGACTATAATATTGAAGATCTTATTTACATTGTTGAAACTAGAATTCCTCTGTTAAATACCAATCAAAAAGCAATTTTTTCCAAAGTGATATTGGCTATTGACACCTGTACATCTACAGTATTATTTGTTGATGGTCTGAGTAGAACAGAAAAACCATTTCTTTATAATTATAAGTTTATTTTTCTATTTCATTATTTTACTCTTTTTTGCTCTTCTTACCTATTCATCCAAATTTAGTGTAATATTTGCAAAAGTTTATTTAAGTGGCCATATTGCTCTTGCCATAGCTTCTTCAGATATTGCATCACTTCTTTTACTAGAGGGTTGTATTGCGCATTCTAGATTCAAGATTCCAATCAATTTACATAACTCTTCAACTTGCTTCATATCTTATGGCTCTTCTCTAGCTACTTTTCTATAATATACCCAACTTTTAATATAGAATAAATCTCCAATGGCATATAGAAATGCTCTAGAAGCTTTAAATCAAATCTTACAGAATCTTATAAAAGCTATAGATTCTTTTTTTGAACATTTGCCTTTTGGAAATAAAGTTGTTATATTTGGAGATGATTTTTGTCAAATTCTTTCCATTGTAGTAAAAGGTAGCCATGAAAATATTATAAGATTCTGCTTAAAATGCTCACTTCTCTGGACTAATATTGATGTTATGTTTTTGAAAACTAATATGCGCCTTTTAAATTTTACTAATACTTCTAATATTTCTAAAGAAAATGAGTTCACCAAATGGCTTCTTAAAATTGGTAAAGGTCTTATTCCTACAATTGACAACCAAAGTAATACTATTTAACTTCTAAGAGATATAGTTCTACAGTCTAAAACTTTAACTAACCTAATTAATACAATTTATCCTAAGCTATCTCCCTAAACTAATCCTCAATATTTGGTTGAGCATACAATTCTTACTTCTAAAAATAATGATGTTAATACTATTAATTTCACAATTATATCTTATTTTCTAGGAGAACTGATTCAATATCTTAGCACTAATACAATTAAAGAACAAAATGACAATATGCACATATATCCTGTTAAATTTCTTAACTCCTTAACAATCATGAATCTTCCTTCCTATAAGTTAATATTAAAACCTAGTGTACCTATTATATTGTTACAAAATTTACACCCTGCTATCAGTTTTTGTAATGGAACTAGATTAGTTTGTTGCTCTTTTCAAAAACATGTTATTGATGCTGAAATCCTTACTGGAAAGCATTCTAGAACCCATGCATTTATTCCTCAAATTAGTATGATTCCTTCTAACATTGATTTGCCTTTTATATTCAAACATCATCAGTTTCCTGTGCAGTCTGCTTTTGCTATGACTATTAACAAATCACAAGATCAAACTTTAAATTTTGTAGGTTTGTATCTTTGAACACCTGTATTCTTACATGGCCAACTTTATGTTGCCTGTTCTCACATTACCTCTTGCAAAAATTTGAAGATCCTTATTTCTCATCATTAAAATGAAACTGAAGATAATTGTTGCAGTACTTTAAATGTTGTTTATAGAGAAATCTTTTATTAATATCCTTTTAGCAACTTACATCCTATATTATATCACATTTACATCCTTACTATCTTCTTTATATTAGCATTTTTCTAATTTTCTCATGATCCCTTTATAGAGTGCCTACTATTGTTTTTAATTTTGCATATTTATTTTTTATTACTTTTCAATTTTTTTATGTTTATTAAAACACCTTAATCTTTTTTCTCTATTTTAAATATAACTTTCAATTTATTCTATTATTTATATTACATTTACATTATTTATATTTGCTATTTCTATTTACCCTTATTATATTACAATATATCTTTTTATTATTCACAGTTTTACTAAATACCTATATAGTTTATTAATTTAATTTTTATATTATTATTCCTTTATATTGTGTTTTATATATTTAATAAATTCAATAAAATCAGTTACAAACCAATCTTTTAAAGTTTAAGAAAATTTTAAAATCACTTTACATAATCTTTTCTTAGATATGTTATACAACTATGAACTTCTAACATTACTTACAATTCTATACTAGCTTTTAACTTTATCTCATTATTGCATATCTATAATAAGTTAGTATACATTTCTATTAATTGTTTCTCTTTCTATTTATTATTTTTACTTCTATATACACTGAGTTGCCTCTTATTTTTAGCCTCAATTTATTTATCTTATTTTAGCATTGTATTCTTATCTATTATATGCAATCATTTATCTATTCCTCTATTTGATTACAAACTAAATTTACAACTTTAATTTATTACATACTATTTGCAAACCTTCTCCAAATCTTATATTCACCATTTTATAAATATTTTTAATTTTTTTGTTTTACACATTTATTTGATCTATAATATATTCTATTTATACCAAATCATCATCAATCAATTATATTAAAATTGTTGGACTTTCATATAGGTGTACTATTTAGTTTATTCTATATAAATAATTTTTAAATTTTGTACCAATAATACTGATACATATATAAACGGATTAGTAATCAACTAAAATTTAAGGTATACTTAGAATAATCCTAGTGCTAGAATTAAGCAACAATACTAGCCCTAAAAATTATAATCTGACTAACTTAGTATGTAACTACTATTTTATTATTAAATTTTGGAAAACATTATCAATTCCATCTATTTCAACCTTATTGCAGACTTAAGATTAATTTTGACTACTATTAATCTTAGAACAGTATATAGACTGTATGATCAAAGATTTTTAGCAATTTCAAGAAATTATGACAGATTATTATAGTATATAAGCTTAAATTAAAAGCTATACTATACTGATCAGCAATAATAACTCTAATATATATAACACTTAGGGTTATAAATAGTAAGTTACTATTAGTAAATTATTGAAAAAGTTATGCTAAGTTACCAAACTACATGTAAATCTGAGGTACTTTAGTCAGTGATATAAGATAATAGGCATTCTTTATCTTTATTAATTAAAGAACATACTTTATTGCTAAACCACTAGCTTCCATATGTTATATTTAATTTTCATCATATTTATATTATATATTGTATATATGTTACTGACAAAATTGATTTTTAGATCAAGTTAAACTTGACCTAGGTCAAATTAATCAATTAAAAAACCTTGCTCAGTATCAATATACTCTGGCCTGCACTGATTCTTAAATTCTATTAAGAGTTATTTTTGATTTGAGTTAAGTTTAACTTAATCTAAAAACCAATTTGATCTGTAAAATATATAGTTAAATATAAATATAAACTGAAAAAAAAACTTTAAACTGGAAATGAAGTAACAGGTAATATATAGTTTATTTTAAAAAAACTACATGCATGCAAGAATGCTACATCTATACTACACTAATATTAATCTATCTGAACTGCATATAAAGTCCATCTAAATAACATAATTAGTATTTGACCTACTGCACATTTAATCTAATCTAAACTTGCAAATAAAACTTATAAAAGTTAAGCAAACAAAAAACTTATGATAAAAGCAGTTTTATCTGAAACTTGATCTAAAAATCCACCTTCTATTTCTGGTTTTGTATGACAATATCATGCAGCTACTTATTAGGCAAATAAACTAAAATAATATAGAATTTAAAGTTATACTTAAAGAAGATATTTATAGTAATAGCATAACCAAAGAATTGAAGTGTTTTATGAACATATGGTTTTAGATATTTTGGAATCATAATTGCTGTTCTAGCTTTACAGCTATCAGTGCAAGACTAGTAATAGGTAAACTGCTAGAATTTAGGAAATTTAGCATTTGCATTGTCTTGTGCAATTTTAGTTTCTGTAATGCTAACTATATTAATATTATAAGATAAACAATAATTCTTTTAAACTTGTTGTTTTAGATTATTATTATATTTTCATGTGTTGTATTATATATTAATAAATGTAATAGTTTATATAGAATGAATATAGATGTTTCATCTATTGGTAAGTAGATAGTAGGTTGTGTGTTGTAAGTATTAGAGATGTTAGTTAAGAAAAAGTCTCAGATCTATTAACTGTATAATTAGATATAAAAGTAACTGATATAGATAAACATTCAGAATATAGATTTGTGAGAAATAATTGATCAAATAAGGCTAAGTGAATATTAAATAAAGTATTGTTAGATGTTGTTAGTAAGAGTAAATGTTTGTATATTTCATATTAAAATGGTTGAATAGTATAATGTTTATGCAAAATAGGATCAAAAAGGTTAGTATATATATGTAACTCAGTTTTGTTTAGTTAATTAATATTTTTTGAAGCTATTTTTAAAAAAGTGTTTTCAAAGATAGGATAGGAAGTTTTCAAGTGTTATAGGATTATGTATGATAGGTAAGTTGTATAATTGTAGAAATTTGTTGTAGCATATGTTTGTTTCTACAAAGGGTAAAGTATTAAAAGCAAAAACTTGTAAAGTTGGATTATCTTTTACAGGATCATTTACTATTTGAAGCTTGGCTTGCACAAGCTGTAGAAGATACTATAGTCTGCTCTGTACATTGGGTCTGATCATCATTAATTTGGTCCTTTATATAAATAGGCTTTACCATCTGCCTACTTACATCATTTTTCTTGTTAACTACTAGAAATGTATCTTTTGACAAGATGGTGGCTACATTAATGAGATTTGTAGAAAACAGATTTATTAAAAAAGAACCTCCTTAAGAAAGAGAGAATCTTCAATTAAGAAAGGTATAGAGTATAACATTTGGAATTTTCTTGTAGCATTTGTTTGCCTCTAAATAGGCTGTTTCTTGGTAATAAGTGTTAATTTGTATGTAGGTAAGGTTTTTGTCAGAGGAGTTGTAAAAGGTTAAAACTCTGGCCAATAGCTTAGTGCTAATAGGTTTTGAGGTAAGAAGTTCTTTCACTTGTTGTTTATTAAGTTTGTTTATATAGTGGTTTTATGCTACAATGCTTTAATATTAGTTAAGATGTAAATAGAAATAATAGCTATGATGTTTAGAATTAGTTAAAACATTGTTAAGTACACAGACTAATTTTTCTATTTCTATTGCAAGTTCATCAAAGAGAGTGGTTGAAATTTGTTTGTTGAAAGTGCTTCATATTTGCTATTTTTGTAGAATATAAATAAATCAATTTTAGGTTGTTACTAAATTTCATTTTCTTGCTTTGAAAAATCTTCAAGAATTTTTTGAAGATATCATTTAGTAGTTGTGAGTATTTATATTAATATTGAGGTTTTGGAGTTGTAATAGGTAAGTTTGGATTTTTTATTTCTTTTCTCTTATTTTAAATTGTTATTTTTTCTAAATAAGAGCAATTTTTTTTTTTATAAGTAAGTATATAAAAGTTGGCTAGTTTTATAGTTTTGTTTCAATGTTCTTGTAGATTATTAGGTTGCTAGAATTTTATTTCTGTAGGTAGAGTTTCTTTAAGATAAAAGATAAATTGCTATCAGATTTGGTATTTTAAAAAGTTAAAAACTTTGGTTTCATCTAATGATTAGATAAATTGTTAATTATAAATTAGAAAAAATTGTTTAAACTATTGTTTTAAATAGTCCAATGAATTAGCAAGTAATGGAATATTAAGTTTGTAAAAAAAAAAAGTTTTTGGAATAATAAAATCAAGATAAATATTAAATTTGTTATCAGATCAAATTATAAAGTATTGCTTGTTTTTGTCAAAGTCAATTACTTTTGATATAATATTAAATCTTTTAGATTGAAGTTAAAAGTCTTTAGCAAATTTAATGTAATTAATTGCTTAGTAGTTGTTTAAGAAGTATAAATAGATACAAGCAATATTGATACAAAG